TGCTCCCACCTGTTCACATTTTGAACTTTAAAAGGATTCTTTCTTGTAGCCATGATTTGTTCTTGTAATTACTGTCATTTTGCTATCCTAGATGCTCTATCTGTTTTATGAGGCGATTCAGACTGCACTGTCTCCAGTCATTTTCTTAGAGTGTTCAATAATCACATATTACTCAGAATGGTGGGGGATAGTGTATTTTTAAAAACATTTTTACAAGCTTTTTCTATATTTTTGAAGGCAATCCAAATGCAAGTTGAAATGATTACAGATGATAGGTTGATTTTGCCTTTTAGATATCTTTCATGTCATTTAAAATAAATTACGCTTTTTTTTTTTTTTTTTTGCTTCAGTTCAGTTCAGTAGTTCAGTCGTGTCCGACTCTTGCAACCCCATGAACCACAGTATGCCAGACCTCCCTGTCCATCACCAACTCCCGGAGTACACCCAAACCCATGTCCACTGTGTTGGCGATGCCATCCAACCATCTCATCCTCTGTCATCCCCTTCTCCTCCTGCCCTCAATCTTTCCCAGCATCAGTCTTTTCAAATAAGTCAGGTCTCCACATCAGGTGGCCAAAGTATTGGAGCTTCAGCTTCAACATCAGTCCCTTCAATGAACACCCAGGACTGATCTCCTTTAGGATGGACTGGTTGGATCTCTTTGCAGTCCAAGGGACTCTCAAGAGTCTTCTTCAACACCACAGTTCAAAAGCATCAATTCTTTGGCACTCAGCTTTCTTTAAAGTCCAACTCTTACATCCATACATGACTACTGGAAAAATCAAAGCATTGACTAGATGGAGCTTTGTTGGCAAAGTAATGTCTGCTTTTTAATATGCTATCATGGTTGGTCATAACTTTCCTTGCAAGGAGCAAGCGTCCTTAATTTCATGGCTGCAGTCACCATGATTTTGGTGCTGAGAAAAATAGTCAGCCACTGTTTCCACCGTTTCCACATCTATTTGCCATGAAGTGATGGGGCTGGATGCCATGATCTTAGTTTTCTGAATGTTGAGCTTTAAGCCAACTTTTTCACTCTCCTCTTTCACTTTTGTCAAGAGGCTCTTTAGTTCCTCTTCACTTTCTGCCACAAGGGTGGTGTCATCTGCATATCTGAGGTTATTGATATTTCTCCTGGCAATCTTGATTCCAGCTTGTGCTTCCTGCAGCCCAGCGTTTCTCATGATGTACTCTGCATATAAGTTAAACAAGCAAGGTGACAATATACAGCCTTGACATACTCCTTTTCCTATTTGGAACCAGTGTGTTGTTCAATGTCCAGTTCTAACTGTTGCTTCCTGACCTGTATACAGGTTTCTCAAGAGGCAGGTCAGGTGGTCTGGTATTCCCATTTCTTTCAGAATTTTCCACAGTTTATTGTGATCCACATAGTCGAAGGCTTTGGATACCTACAAGTGTAACTCTATTCCCATACCTCCCCAACCTGCTGAAGAGTACTCTCATACTTATAAAATATCAGAACTAGGCTTAAAATAATTTGTAATGACTGACTGTCCCATGTTTTCAGGCTAGCATCTTGGAGGAGCTCATGACTTTATTACCATATTTGTGTCCTAACATTCTGATTTTATCTGTAGCCCTCTTCTCTATAATCTATAGCAGCAGGCTCCAACCTATTTGGCGCCAAAGACCAGTTTTGTGGAAGACCATTTTTCCATGGATGGTGGTGGTGGGAGGGGGACCAAGGGGGAATTGGTTCAGGTGGTAATGTGAGGCATTGGGCACCATACAAGAAGCTTTGCTTGCTACCACCATTCACCTCCTGCTGCGCGGCCTGTTTCCTAACTGGTCCATGGCCCTGAGGGCTGGGGACTCATGATCTACAGTCCAATTTAACAAACTGGCTGCTGTCTAAATGTGGTCCAAGACATGCTTTGCTTAGTACTTAAAAACAAACAAAATAGTTGACAACACTTAAAAATCAGATTTCACATTGAAAACCAAACCTCTGGCTGCTCTTAAAATATTGAGTTCTGATGGCATTAGGCCCACTACTTGGAACTTGGTCCCTGATTAAACAGAGAATATGCTCTCAGGTTTGTGGCACTTCTCCTCTAGATAGCCTGTGCCTTCTAGTCATAATAGACATTACAGGTTTGTAACCTATGGTCTAGCATCTCTGATTTCAACCTGTGATGTTGGCTTAAAATACCAAATATGTGCTGATAATTTCTGTTTCTACTTAGATGTTCTGCAGACTCCCCAGAACCTATATATTCAAAACCAAACGAATTTTTTTCAAAACCTAATTTTCTTCTGCTATTTGCCAAATGATCCAGTTAACAGAATTACATTCCTACAGTTGTCCAAATTAGAACTCAGATGTTAAAGAATCTGCCTGCAATGCAGGAGACCCAGGTTCAATCCATGCACTGGGAAGATCCCCTGGAAAAGGAAATGGCAACCTACCAGTATCCCTCCTGGAAAATCCCAAGGGCAGAGGATCCTGGCAGCCTGCAGTCCCTGGGGTCACAAACAGTCAGACATGACTGAGGGGCTAACACACTTGTCCAAATTTTAGGGTCAGTCTTTCCTCCTCCTTTCTCATCCTACCCACAACTTATCAGTCATGTACCAAACTATGACATGCCTTTGCTTTCACTGTTCCCAATACTTAAAATACTTTTCCTTCTTGATATCTGGAGAAACTCTATTTACTTTCCAAGATAGAACAAATTATTCAATTTCTGAAACTATGTCACTCACCTCCAGGAACATTTAGTTGCTTCTTTCCATGTACAGGCATCTCAAGTACATTATGTTGTATGATAATTAACACCAGCTCTAAGGATTCCTCAAGAACAAAGATCATGATTTAGTTATCTTTGTATCAACAATACTAAGACAAAAAAAATGGGACTCAATTAGTATGTAAAATAAATACATGAGTTTTACAAATTAATGAAAATAATACTGTTTCATATTATGGTTTTTGCCTTCCTGCATTTTCTATATGCTTTCTATATCTTTGATTAAACTGTCCAGTTTTTGCTAGTGCAGCTTTGGATGATACTAGAATCATTTTAAATTTCACACCCTATGACTCGTAAAGTTAAATGGCTATGTCAAAAGAAAACACATGAGGGTTTTTTAAGTAACTTAAAATTTTTGTTTTAATAAGGGTATCAGGTACTAGCACTGAAAAATATATAATTCTTCATAAAACAGATCCCTGAGGGGCAGCTGAACAGCTGTTGAAAGTTTTGGCGCATCACTATGCCAGCCTGAGCTTAATGACCTACATGTGAAGGGCTAAATATCCAATTACTAATCCTCCCTCAGCTACTCTTTGGCCTGATATGGAGGTAGCTGGAAAAAGATGCCCTACTAACAGATCAGAAATGGATCCAGACTTCCTTGCCAATTCTTAGTTAAAAGATCTTTTGGACTTGATATAATGAGGAAACAGACAGTGGCCTACAACTATGTTGCAGTGACAGTGTTTCAAGTAAAATTCGACGATTTAAAGCAAGAGTGACTTCAGTTTTGTAACTAAATTTACAGAAATTACAATTCTTTCAGAAAAGCCAAATCTGGGATTTAATTTCCTATTCACAGAAACCTTTAAACATGTTAGAATGTTTTCAAATATCAAGTATAAATCACTCCAGAGTTCTTTCCATACTTAGAGGGCAGTCTTCTATTCATTGATTCAAACATCATTCTTATCTTCGAATTCTGCAATAATCACTTATTAGAAGTAGGCCCAAATTAAAAGCTAAATAGAAAATGACCACCAACCGGATTATGTTACAGCTCTTCCTCAGGTGACTTAATCTATATATAGCAAAAAGGTTACATAGTAAAGTCAGGCATTATAAACAATGAAACATCACCCAATGGCTTACAAAACAGTATATGAAAAACAGCTCAAAGAATGAATGGAGAGTAAGACTTATGGTTGTAAGGAAGAAAAGGTGTAAACATTCTAGATTTAATTACATCTTATTGGGCGCTTGATTCACTTTTAAAATCTAATTTTCCACTTCAGTTGTGTAAAATTATGTGATACTGAAAACCTCCTGTATTATAAATACAAATAATTTAGGCAACAGATGCTTTCCTCTCATCTCAAACACGGAAGAATTATAAGCCCTTTATTCGTGTTGGTCATTTTTAAGAGTAGGAATGTCTTAACATCCCTCGCCATCCCCACGAGGATATATGAATAAATGCCTGCAGGTGTACGCCTGCCTTGAATTTGAAAATCAGGTATTACTCAAACACCTCCCACTCCAGAAACCCTAACCCCAGACCCCGCCCCCCACAAACCCCGCCCCTTTCTCCCACTGCGGGTCCGGAGTTGGCGCAGTAGGCTGACGAAAGACGTAACCTCCGTAGCCTCCTACGTGCAGCTACCGGCTCTGCCTCTGGGAGTTGAAGTTTCCGAAAGAGGACCTTCTCGAGTGGTAAAGACCACTACAAAAAGCTTTCTGAGAGGTTATTAGATTCCCCGACAACTCCTCTGTTCGGTAAGTCTTTTGGCGCGGAGGCTACCGCTCGTCTACTCTTTGATATAATCCGAGAGCACAAGGAGCGCGTGCCGGTCCCGCCTTCCAAACTAGCAATAGGGCTTCCGGGGGAGAGGGAAGTGGGATAATGGAAAATGGTAGCAAAAACCCAGCTCCGGAAGGAAGTGACGTCGAGAGAGCGCGCCCCTTCGCCTCGCCAAACAGCTTTCTGATTCGTCGGCTGCAAATTAACCCCGCCTCTGGAGCGCGACCGCGCGTGGGTGACATGGAGGCTAGAGTCGGGCTCGGCTCTGCCTACTAGTATAGGTCATTTTGCTGTCTACTTTTGTTTGGGGGTCGAGATACGGGTCCTAGTATGTGAAGTGTGTTCGCTTCCCAAGAATGAAGGGAGAGGGAAATCTGGACTCTGAAAGGCCGGAAAATGAGTTGTGGTTGTGCCCCTTGTTGGCAAGAGACGATGGGCAAGTCGCTTTTCGTGTTTAAACCTCATTTTTCCTACGAGGGCTGATGTCTCTGAGCGCTGTGAAATGTGGGGAGAGGCCCAGGGGAAAGTTGCTGCAGGTGCTGTTAAAAAAAGCACGTTTTAAAAAAGGGTATTCCTTCTTTACCACCATTAGGTCATTTAATTCCGTTCTGCGGTTATTTCGACATTCCTTTGGATGTTTCTGGAAGGGAGGCTGTGTTATAAATTATGACTTTAGCCCAATCAGTAAAGCCATGAATTTTTTTTTTTTTAACTTTCTGCCAGTCACACTCATGATGTGTGTTCTCCCTGTCAGGAGTTGCGCTAAGAAGTGGAAATACAAGGATAATGGAAATACAATTTTTTAATTGATCTGTCCCACACCAAATTGCATTAGTCGTCTTTATCCATAATTAGTTTCATAAAACCACCAGATGATCTGTATCTAACTAGACGAACCATTTAAAAAAATTCAGTGCTCAAGTAAACTAAATTTGGCGCAATTATTTCTGTAATTGCTACAAAGTTGGTTGAACCTGGTGAATGAATTAGAATGTGCTGTGAATAGCACTGCATGTGAGGGACGAATGCAGACTGCCATGGTGTTTATATTTTAACTTAACAGGTTAATCTGAACAAACTAGTGCATAGTTAAATGCTCACTCTATGATACAGGCATTAGGAATTGGTACATGTCTTTGTAAAGTGTGTTGAAAGCAATAATGAAAGGATCTCAGTCTAGCATCATTTGATGCTTGATCATTGCATCATTCCCTGCAATGTATCTAGCTTATTCAAAGCTTTAAAAAAATTTCTTTTACTACATTCCTTTTTCTTAATTGGAAATAACTTTTAAAATAGCAGTGATAATGATATTGACAAGCTCATGACCTTTCTTTCTATTTGATAGGCTTTAAAAAATATTAGTATGCAATGATAAGCAAATTAAATTTAACTTGGACTTCTTAGGAAAGGCGAAAGTTCCCCCTGGTGTGCATGAGTTGTAAACTTTTGCTGTACTTTATTATATTAAAATTTTCACAGTCTAGAGCCAATCAACTCTTGCTCTTTTGACCATCGTAGGAAACTATGAAAAACGATGCCACTGATGATAGAAATATTCTCTCCTAGAATATTAAGCAGTTTCATAAAGAGCAGTTTGTTTCCTCTGATTTTTAATTGTGCTTAAAGTCTGCACGTTTGAATTGCGTTCCTGCATGCCAAGTCGCTTCAGTTGTGTCCGACAGTTTGCGACCCTATGAGCTGTAGCCCAGGTTCCTCTGTGCGAGGATTCTCCAGGCAAAGATACTGGAGGGGGTTGCCACGCACTCCTCCAGGGAATCTTCCTGACCCAGGGATGGAACCCACGTGCATTGGCCGGCAGGGTTGTTTTTTTTTTTTTAACCACTAGCGCCACCTGGGAAGCCTGCACATTTAGCTTAATAGGCAGGTTTAGCTTATGTTTTCTGTATTGTTTTGGATATATTCATTGCTAATTTTTATTCATGTGTTTATTTATGGAAAGGAAATAAAAGTGATCCTAGGAATCACAATATATGTTTAAAATTTTTCTTATCTTTTCAGGCTTACTGTGTTTCCTCTGTCTCCTGTTTCTTAAATTGAATAGTTACCATTTTGGCCTATGTTTCTCTCAAGCTGTTACTCACATTTTTTAAATGCTCAGACATACGATTTTTTTCGTTTTATTTTTCTGTCTGAACTCTGAATCAGATTGTGAGGTTGTCTTCTAATTTATCAACTACCTCTTGGAATCCAAGTAATCTGGAGTTTGCCTCATATGTTGAAATTTTTATGACTTCACTTCCTGCTTTCCAAATTGGTTCTTTTTTGTTTTTGTTTTTGTGTTTGTTTTTTGTTTTTTTTTAGTGAATTCTTGTTTTGATATTTTTATGCCTGTTTTTCTGTACCAATTTCCCAATTTTTGTTTTTATGGTTACTGCTCTTCATTAACTCTTTTTCCCCCCTAATTTCCGTCCTTTTATAATTTTGCTTTGCAGACTCATCTGGAACGGAATTATAGCTTTCCTTTCCAAAACTACGTCTCTCTACTACTGATTTTGTGGTTTCTTCCACCCATGACCCTTTTCAGTGCTTCAGACCAATAGCAGAGCCTATATATGTGGCTGAGAATTTCAGTCATATTATTGTATGTTCGTACATCACCTCATAGCTGGGCCCAGGTTGTAACCAAGAGGCTGGTGTCTGTTCCCCTCAAGTAGTCAGCTTTGTATAAGCTATCTTTAATTTTACCTGTTGTTAGTCTTTTTTCTTGGAAAGAGGAGCCTCACCCCAACACCAGTTTAAGGGTTCTTCTTAAACTTCCTCCCATCTGTCTCCCGTCCTCTGTCTTGTATTACTATTTTTCTCTTTAAAGATAGGAAACCTCTTAGCTGTCTTTACACTGCAGACCCTGTTCTTAATTTTGATTTTGAAGGGCTATACTTGTTTTGTTTCCCCTTTTATTATTTTATCTGCTGTTGTCATGTGTTGCGAGCTTGGAAGGCAGGATATCACAGACATAAACTTTTGGCAGTGATCTCTAGGAAGTTTCCCAATTGTTCTTTTTTTTGGTGCATTGGCATGCAAGTAGATCCAAAGGGGTTTTTCCCCTCCGTTATCTTTTGGTGACACAGGTCTTCTCTGAGCCTTTCAACAGCAGGTGGGTGAAAGCAACACAGCTCTTTAAGATTGTTTGGAAATTCCCATTTTCTAAATAAGACTTTGGACTTCTAGAAGACAGTAGAGTTGGATGTGGGCTTGAATCTTTGCTCCATTGCTTCATTCAACAAGTATTTTGAGGACCTATTTTGTGCAACATTTGCTCTAGGTGCCTGTTTCTTAGGAATCGTATAATAGCTTTGTAACTTTGGGCAAGTAATCTTGGTACCTCTTCCTTTGCAAAGGAGGCATATGTGACTACCCCTTAGGATTTTTTTTAAGAGAGTAAACTAGATAATAACTTATTAAGTATAGTAAGAATTAATAAGTGTTTGATGTTATAATTTTCATTACTTTTAGAAGTTCTTTATAATATCATAGTCACTCATTTGTTTGTTCTGCAAATACGTAACAAGCATCTACTAAGTGCTCGGCACTGTGCTAGTGTTGCCAATGTAATGTTGGGCAAAAGCAGATGTTAGCCCTGCCCAGTGGGGTTTCCAGAGGAGAGTCAAAGTTGAGTTGTCATTTCTAGGAGATGATCTCCCTTAAAAGAAGTTTGGTTGGTGACATAAAGAAAACTTGTGAACTCTTACTTGTATTACTAGATGATTCTTTCCCCTCTTAGTAATTTTGCAGTATAGTAAAATGTCAGGGCTTTGCTCTAGCCCCTAAATCATGCATCTTAAAATTTCTTGTCTTGCAGTCAAAATTTGGTAAACTTTCTAAGTTTTCTTAGGTACCCTGTATGTCCTATTACATCATTGCATGTTTAAAGAAGGCAGGAACCGTGTAATAAAACCGCTGCTCAAACTATGTTCTGCGAACTTTTTTTCTTTCCATTCTCTGACTTGTGGGGGTTGTTCTTTTTCCTTTTAGATGTTGGCTTCTCTGCACAGACTTGTTAACTATCTCTGTAAAAGGGAAGAATTACATATTTTTGTGTAAGACCGATAGAATATTTGCAGACTTCATGCTTAGTTTTTGATAGGGATAAAGAACACACATTCTTAAGCTATGGTGTTAATAATTAAAGAGAAAAGATGTCTCAGTATTTCTATCCTTATCCCTGCTCTAAAGGCAAGTTTAGCTCTAGACAGTGGATATAAAGATGTGGGTTGTGGTTTAGTTGCTAAGTCGTGTCTGACTCTTGCGACCCCATGGACTGTGGCCCGCCAGAATCCTCTGTCCATGGAACTTTCCAGGCAAGAATACACTGGGTTGCCATTTCCTTCTCTCCAGGGGCTCTTCCTGACACACACATCAATCCTGGGTCTCCTGCACTACAGGTAGATTCTTTACCGACTGAGCTACCAGAGAAGACCCTTAAAGATGTTGGTGGTTAAATCTAAATAAGATGTTTTAGATGGCCCTGAGTATTCCACAACTGATTACAGAGTCAGTTTATATATTTTGTTTTCCAGCTGTGACTGAAGTGAAAAATTTATAATTACATATTTATAATGGAATATGTTGGGGGCAACTCAATTTGTTCTCTGTACTGTCCAAAATACAGAAATGCATAGCATACCTTTTGTCAAAAACCAATTGTTGAGTGTCCACCCAGATAGTGAAATTAGCATTTTTCCTGTATGACAGTATTAAAGACAAGTACAGAAAGGTGCTTTCCAGCTCTTTAAAAAAATTATATGTTTTTCTTTTATAAAACTATATTTTCACTATATAAAATTTGGAAAATGCAGAAAGCCATGGGTGGGTCAGAATTAAAACGTGTATATATATGTATATATATATATATTTTAAAGCAAAATTGAACATCTTTTGATTTTCTTATTTAACAGTTATTTCCCTTTATCACTAAATAATATTGAGAAACATTTTTCTTGGCTGCTTAGTATTCCAATCCAGTGTTATAGGTAGACTGTAATTTGTATTTAGTCCCCATTTGCTGGCATTCTAATTTTTTATTGTTAAAAATAGCAGTAATACATGTATTCTTTTCCATTAATTTTGTTTATATTTCCAATTAATTTACAGGAATTCTAAGGAAATAAATTATTGTAAGAAAGAGTATCAACATTTTAAATCTCTTCAAACATACAGGTCTGAGTAGCCTTCTGGGAAAATTGTGCTATGCTGCCAAAAGTGTATAAAAACATCCTATTTCATCAAATGATCTTTGCCAGTAAATGCTGATTGATTGCCTAAATTTGTACCTTTTTCATTACTAATATGGTTTCATTTTAATCACATCCTTTGGTCTATTTTTTTACTTTTATTTATTTATTTTTGGTTGTAAATCATCTGTTCCTGTCAGAGTTGCTTTTCAATTTTTCAGAGGCATCAAATAATGTCATCTGAAATGTTGGCAGCATTTAGTAAGACTTGTAATGTTGAAAGACAGCAAGACTTAAGTGAAGATAGAGAGGAAAATCAGAAGCCAGGATTAAGTGAAAGGTTTCAACCAATATCTAAACGGCAAATGAAGAAGCTAATGAAACAGAAACAATGGGAAGAACAACGAGAACTCCGCAAGTATGTATCAAAATGCATATATTCTATCCCTATTTAGAGATATGGAATGTTGGATCTTTCATATAGTAGTTATGCAATTACAAAATTATGCAGTAGTAATTATGTTAGTTAAATTGGGACTGTACATACTGTTAGCTCACTTTGTCAGTTGGCTACTAAAACTGTTTTAAGTTGTTTTTTTTTAGCAGTGTTGCTGAATTTACACAGTACACTTTTCTCACCCACACCTATTGTGAGTAGCACCTCAATTTCTAAAATAACCAATTTATAAAAAGGATATAGTTAGCATCTATGTCCTAGATATGGAACAGAAATAATCATCTCAGAAAGGTCAAATTTGGGCCTAACATTGATTTTGCTAGAACTATTACAGGTTTTGCTAAGAGCAGTTAGGCTTAAGCTGTTATTATAGAAAGACAAAATTTATTAGAAAATTAATTGTTGATGTAGATGAGAGGAAAACCTGAGGTGTTTTTTTTCATAATTTTACTTTTAAAAAAATGAGAGCAGCTTTTTCTTAAAAAAATAACTTTTATTTTTATTGAAGGGCTTCCCTGGGATGGCTCAGATGATAAAGAATCTGCCTGCAATGTGGAGACCTGGGTTTGATCCCTGGGTTGGGAAGATTCCCTGGAGAAGGGAATGGTTACCCATTCCAGTGTTCTTGCCTGGAGAATTCCATGGACAGAGGCGCCTGGTGGGCTGCAGTCCATGGGGTTGCAAAAAGTCAGACACTACTGAGTGACTAACACTTTTTTCTTCATTTTATTTTTATGGGCTTCCCTGGTAGCTCAGAGAGGAAAGAATCTCCCTGCAATGCAGGAGACCTGGGTTTGATCCCTGGGTTAGGAAGCTCCTCTGGAGAAGGGAATGGCTACCCACTCTAGTATTCTTGACTGGAGGAATTCCATGGACACAGGAGCCTGGTGCACTACAGTCCATGGGGTCACAAAGAGTTAGACACGATTGAGCAACTAGCACTTTATTTTTCATAGTTAATTCACAATGTTGTGTTAGTTTTAGGTGTACTGGAAAGTGATTCAGTGATATATATATGTATATGTGGAAGTAAAAGTGTCAGTTGCTCAGTTGTATCCAACTCTGTGACTCCACGGACTGTAGTCCTCTAGGCTCCTCTGTCCATGGGATTCTCCAGGCAAGGGTACTGGAGTGGGTTGCCATTTCCTTCTCCAGGCTATCTTCCCGACCCAGGGATCAAATCTGGGTCTCCCGTATTGCAGGCAGATTTTTTACCATCTGAGCCACCAGGGAAGCCCCATATATACATCCATACTTTTTCAGATTATTTTCCATTATAGATGATTACAAAACATTGAATATAGTTCCCTGTGTGATACACTAGGTCCTTGTTGGTGGTGCTAGCAGTAAAGAATCCACCTGCCAATGCAGAACATGTAAAAGACACAGGTTTGATCTCTGGGTTGGGAAGATCCCCTGGAGAAAGGCATGGCAACCCACTCCAGTATTCTTGCCTGGAGAATCCCATGGACAGAGGAGCCTGGCAGGCTGCAGTCCTTAGGGTTACAATGAGTTGGACACATCTGAAGTGACTGAGCACAGAATGTGTATGTTAATCCCAAACTCCTAATTTATCTTCCCACTCCCTTACTATCCACTCTTGTAACCATATGTTTCTTTTCTGTGTCTGTGTGTCTACTGCTGTTTTGTAAATAACTTTATTTGTATCACTTTTTTTAGATTCCACATGGAAGTGAGATCATATTTGCCTGAGTTACTTCACTTGCTGTGATAATCTCTAGATCCATCCATGCTGCTGCAAATGGCATTCTTTCATTCTTGCTTATAGCTGAGTAACTTTGCATTGTGTATATATACCACATCTTCTTTCTCCATTCATTTGTCAGTGAACATTTAGGTGCTTCTGTGTCTTGGTTTTTGTAAACAGTGCTTCTGTGAATGTTGGGGGTGTATGTGTCTTTTTTAATTAGAGTTTTCTCTGGCTATGTGCCCAGGAGTGGGATTGCTGGACCATATGGTAACTCTGTTTTCAGTTTTTTAAGAAATCTCTATACTGTTTTCTATAGTGGCTGCACAAATTCACATTCTCACCAACAATGTAGGAGGGCTCCCTTTTCTCTTCATCCTCTCCAGCAGTTGTTATACATAGACATTTTCATGATGGCCATATTGACTGGTGTGAGGTGATATGATAGTTCATTGTAGTTTTGATTTGCATTTCTCCAAAGCAACATTGAGCTCCTCTTCATGTGCCTTTTGGCCATGTGTATGTTTTCTTGGAGAGAAATGTCTGTTTAGGTCTTCTGCCCAATTTTCGTTTGGGTTGTTCAGTTTTGTTTTGTTTTAATATTAAGCTATATGAGCTTTTTGTTTATTTTGGAAGCAAATCCTTGTTAGTTACATCATTTGCAAATATTTACTGCCTGTCCATATGTTGTATTTTAATTTTGTTGATGGTTTATTTTCCTGTGCAAAAGCTTTTATTTTTGTTTTTAATTTTGTTACTCTAGGAGGCGGATCAGAAAAGATCTTGTTGTGATGTATGTCAGAGTATTCTGCCTATATTTTTCTCTAAGAGCTTTATAGTATCTGGCCTTACATTTAGGTCTTCAATCCATTTTGAGTTTATTTTTGTGTATGGTGTTAGGGAGTGTTCTAGTTTCATTTTTTTCAGTTTTTTCAGTGTTTTCCCAAGACCGCTTACTGAAGAGACTGTCTTTCCTCTTTCCTGCACTCTTTTCTTCCTTTGTCATAGATGAATTGATATTAATTAATTGATATGTTTCTGGGCTTCCTATCTGTTTCATTGATGTATGTGCCTCTGTGTTTGTGCCAGTGTGATATTGTTTTGATGACTATAGCTTTGTAGTATAGTCTGAAGTCAGAGAAGATGATTCTTCCAGCTTCATCCTTTTCTTTCAGGATTATTTTGTCTATTCAGGGTCCTCTGTGTTTCCATACAAGCTTCAAAAAGTTTTGTTCTAGTTCTGTGAAAAATGCCATTGATATTTTGATAGGGATTGCAGTAAATCTGTAGATTGCTTGCATAATATGGTCATTTTCACAGTATTCTTCTATTCCAAGAACACAGTATATCTTTGCATCTGTTTGTGTAATCTTCAATTTCTTTCATCAGTGTTTTATAGTTTTCAGAGTATAGGTCTTTTGTCTCCTTAGGTTGGTTTATTCCTGGCATTTTATTCTTTTTGATGAGATGGTAAATGGGACTGTTTCCTTAATTTCTGTTTTTGATATTTTGTTGTGTGTAGAAATGCAGTAGATTTCTGTGTATTAATTTTGTATCCTAAAACTTTACCAAATTCATTGTTGAGCTCTAGTAATTTTCTTCTGCATCCTTAGGATTTTTTGTATGCAACACTGTGTTATCTGCAAACAATGGCAATTTACTTCTTTTCCAATTTGGATTCATTTTATTTCTTTTTCTTTCTGCCTGCTGTGGCTAGGATGTCCGAATCTATGTTGAATAACAATTTTACTTTTTTTAATATATGGTTATAATTGTTGCTTGAAAATCATGTAGGGGAACGATAAAAGTAAAATCTTTTATAACTCTCAAATTCAGTATTTTAAAAGTTTTCTAAGTACATATAATGGGCCGTGTGCTGTGCTGTATTTAGTCATTCAGTTGTGTCTGACTCTTTGTGACCCCATGAACTGTAGCCCACCAGGCTCCTCTGACATTGGAATTTTCCAGACAAGAATACTAGAGTGGGTTGCCATGCCCTCCTTCAGGGGATCTTCCTGATCCAGGGATCAAATCTTGAACCCAGGTCTCCCACGTTGCAGGCAGATTCTTTACTATCTGAACCACCAGGGAAGCCCATGAATACTGGACTGGGTAGTCTATCCCATCTCTAGGGGATCTTTCTGACCCAGGCAGTGAACCAGGGTCTCCCACATTGCAGGTGGATTCTTTTTAACAGCTGAGTTACCAGGGAAGCCCCATATAACATGCTACCAATAATAAATGAACTTACAGTTCAGATCTGTGTAAAAAATATTTTGCTTTTGCAAACTCATTTGCAAATGAGTAAAGCTTTTAATCTATCTAAAATTGCAGATATTTGACAATTTTGATCCACAGAAGTGGCAGTTTTTTATGATTTAGCCTACTGATTTTAAAATAATTTTTCTTTGTTTAGAAAAGTTTTGTAAATATCCAAATAACAAAAAGTTGTTTTCAATTACTAATTTTAGACAAAAGCGGAAGGAAAAACGCAAGAGAAAGCAATTAGAGCGACAATGTCAACCTGAGTCAAATTCAGATGGAAGTGACAGAAAACGTATTCGAAGAGACGTTGTTCACAGCCCACTCCGCCTTATCATTGACTGCAGTTTTGACAGCTTGATGGTATTAAAGGTATCATGAGTCATTGTCAGAAAAATCCTGTAGCTGAACTAGGTTGAATAATTCTTGCTTTAATATGTAATATTACTTTGATATAATTTATGTACTAAAATGCATCTTTTTTTCTTTTTAATTGTGGTTTTAATCTACATAACAAAATTTACTATCTTAACCATTTTTAAGTGTACAGTTCAGTAGTGCTAAGTACACTTATGTTGTGCAGCCAGTCTCCAGAACTCTTTTTCATCTTGCAAAACTAAAATTTTATACCCATTGAACAACCATTTCCATTCCCCCTCCCCCAGCCCTTGACATTGGCATTCTACTTTCTGTCTCTATGAATTTGACTACTCTGTGTATCTTATATAAGTGGAATCCCACTTCTGTGACAGATTTTTTTCACTGAGCATTATGTCTTCACTGTGCTGTGCTCAGTTGTTATTCACATCTAACTCTGTCACCCTGTGGACTGCAGCCCACCAGGCTCCTCTGTCCGTGGGATTTCCCAGGCAAGAATAACGAAGTGGGTGGCCCTTTCTTACTCCAGGGGATCTTCCTGACCCAAGGATGGGACCCATGTCTCCCACATTGAGTGGCAGATTCTTTACCACTGCACCACTTAGGAAGCCTCTACATTGTGGTGTGTGTCAGAATTCCCTTATGTTTTAAGGTTGAATACTATTTTAGTGTATATATAGACCACTTTTTGTTTATTCATTCATCTGTTGTCAGTGGACATTTATGTTGCTTCCATCTCTAGGCTATTTTGTTGGTTTCTTGTGTGTGTGTGTTTTAAACTATTTTATTGAAGCAGTTGATTTACAGTGTTGGGTTAGCTTCTATTATACAGTAAGGTGACTCAGTTATGCATTTATATGTATATGTATATATACACACAGATTTATCCCTTTTCATATTCTTTTCCATTATGATTTATTACAAGATACTGAATATAGTTACCTGTGCTGTACAGTTGTACCTTGTTGTTACCCATTCCATGTGTAGTAGTTTGCATCTGCTAAAGCCCGGGTTGCCAGTTATCTCTCTCACCCCTTGGCAACCACAAGTCTATTCTGTCAGTCTGTTTCTGTTTTGTGGATAAGTCCACTTACGTCATATTTTTAGATTCACATATAAGTGACGCACATCTGTCTTTCTCTCTGACTCACTTAATATGATAATCTCTTAAGTCCATCCATGCTACTGTAAATAGCGTTGTTTCTTTTTTATGGCTGAGTAGTATTCCATTATATAAATATACCATGTCTTCTTTTTTTTTCTTAACTGGCGTATAATTGCTTTAAAATGTTCTCTTAGTTTCTACTCTACAACAGTGGAATCAGCTGTATGTATATGTGTATCCCTCCCTCTTGACCCGGCCTTCCCACCTGTCTAGGTCATCATGGAACACCGGGCTGAGCTCCTTGTGTTACACAGCAGCTTCCCACTAGGGGTCCGTTTTACACGTGGTAGTGTATATGTGTCAGTGCTGCTCTTTTGGTCTGTCCCACCCTCTCCTTCCCGCTGTGTCCACAAGTCCATTTTTTATATCTGTGTCTTCTACTCCTGACCTGCAGATAGGTTCATCAGTGCCCTTCTTCTAGATTCCATACATATGCTTTAATATACAATATTTGTTTCTCTCTTTCTCTTACTTTACTCTGTATGACAGACTCTAGGTTCATCCATATCATTACAAGTGACCCAATTTCTTTCATTTTATGGCTGAGTAACATTCCATTGTATGTATGTACCACATCTTCTTTATCCATTTGTCTGTTGATGGATATTTACGTTGCTTGCATGTCCTATTGTAAATTGTAAATAGTGCTGCAGTGAACATTGGGATACATATATATTTTTGAATTATGGTTTTCTCTGAATGTATGCCCAGGAATGGGACTGCTGGATCATATGGTAATTCTATTTTTAGTTTTTTAAGGAACCTCCATACTATTCTCCATAGTAGCTATTCCAGTTTACCTTCCCATCAACAGTGTAAGAGGATTTCTTTTTCTCTACATCCTCTCCAGCGTTTATCGTTTGTACATTTTTTGATGATGGCCATTCTGATAGGTGTGAGATGGTACCTCATTATAGTTTTGATTTGCATTTCTCTAATAATTAGTGATGTTGAGCATCTTTTCATGTGCTTTTTAGCTATCTGTATGTCTTCTTTGGAGAAATGTCTGTTTAGATCTTCTGCCCATCTTTTGAGTTGTTTTGATATTGAGCTGCAAGAGCTATTCTATTTTTTTTGGAGATTAATCCCTCGTCAATTGCTTCTTTTGCAAATATTTTCTCCCATTCTGAAGGTTGCCTTTTTTGTTTATGGTTTCCTTTGCTGTGCAAAAGCGTTTAAACTTAATTAGGTCCTGTTTGTTTATTTGTGTTTCTCTTTTCATTACTCTAGGAGGTGGATTGGAAAAGATCTTGCTCTGATTTATGTCAAAGAGCATTCTGCCAATATTTTTCTCTAGGAGTTTTATACTACCTGTCCTTAAATTTAGCTCTTTAATCCATTTTGAGTTTATTTTTGTGTATGTTTTTAAAGAAGTGTTCTATTTCATTCTTTTTCTTGTAGCTGTTCAGTTTTCCCAGCACCACATACTGAAGGAACTGTCTTTCCTCCATCATACACTCTTGCTTCCTTTGTCATAGATGAATTGATGATAGGTGCATGGGTTTATTTCCGGGTTTTTCTGTCCTGTTCCATTGATCACTATGTCTGTCTTTGTGCCAGTGTCATACTGTTTTGATGACTGTAGCTTTGTGGTATCACCTGAAGTCAGGGAGCCTGATTCCACCTGCTCTGTTTTTCTTTCTCAAGATTGTTTTGGCTCTCCAGGATCTTTTGTTTTTCCATACAAATTGTAAAATTTTTTGGTTCTAGTTCTGTGGAAAATGCCATTGATAATCTGATAGGGATTGCATTGAATTTGTAGATTACTTTGGGGAGTGTAGTCATTTTCACCGTATGGATTCTTCCAATCAAAAAACATGGTATATTATCTCTCCATCTGTTTGTGTCACACATCTTTGATTTCTGTCATTAATATCTTCTTATTTTCTGCATCCAGGTCTTTTGCCTCCTTGGGTAGATTTATTCCTGGTATTTTATTCTTTTTGATGAGATGGTAAATGGGACTGTTTCGTTGATTTCTCTTTCTTATCTTCGGTTTTTGGGGTATAGGAATGTGTATTCTACCCAGTAAGGCTCTCATTCAGTTCAGTGGAGAAATCAAAAGCTTTACAGACAAGCAAAAGCTAGAAGTCAGCACCACCAAATCAGCTTTAGTGCATCCTAAGTTGGGACTTCCCTGGTGGTCCAGTGGTTAAAACTCCTCACTTCCAATGCAGGGGGCACAGGTTTGATCCCTGCTTGGGTAGCTAAGATCCCACATACTGCACAGAGTGGCCAGAAAAAAATAACAAATTTTAGATTTTTTAAAAAGTTAAAAAAATTTTTTTCCTGAAAACAATGCATCCTAAATTAAGCTTTTCAAAATCTGTGGCCCTAAATTAAAGTATTAAATAGCTAGTAGGTTGCTTTTATTTATATCTATATGTATGAAGTTGCTCAGTCGTGTCCAACTCTTTGAGACCCCATGGACTACTGTAGCCCACCAGGCTCCTCTCTCCATGGGATTCTCCAGGCAAGAATACTGGAGTGGGTTGCCATTTCCTTCTCCAGGGGATCTTCCTGACCCAGGGATCGAACCCAGGTCTCCCACATTACAGGCAGATGCTTTACTGTCTAACACCAGGGAAGCTATATCTATATGTACAGACAGAGGGAAAGACACGTACTGTAATAGGTTATGAAACTCAGTAACTGCATATTAATTGTAAAGAGCTGTGGGGGGGTTTGTTATTAACCCTAACTGAAAGGAGGGGGGAAAATATGATTGGCTTAAAAGGATTATTTAATAGTTTAAGATACTTGGTTGTTTAAACAATGATACTATGTTTTAATTACTTTCTAAACTTTTGTAAGTTGTGAAAATTTTAATACTATGGCTCTAAGAGCCATTTTTTTTTCTTTTGTTGTCTCCTAAGAAGAGTGAAAGTTTTCATGAATTTATATTTTAAGTAGATACAAAATGTGAAATTATGGGTCACTTACAGAATATTGACTTATAGTAATTATTTAAATAGTATGTAAGGGAATTGAATGGAAATTAATCAGAAAGGACTTGTATTTCTAAAGAAGAAATGTACCTATCTAGTTATCCTTCCTGCTTATTCTGTTCCACTCGGATTATGAAATAGCCACAGGTAATTTTTAAAATATTGCTTTAAAAATTGCACTCTTTTATAGGACATTAAGAAACTTCACAAGCAGATTCAACGATGTTATGCAGAAAATCGACGAGCACTGCATCCTGTGCAGGTATGTTTGAGGAATTAAAACAAACTTCCAGTTTCCTTTTATATCTCCCTTCAGAAAAGGCATAGGTAATCCTGATTGCCTGTACAAGAATGAATCTTACAGGTAATCTTTCTTAATGAGCTAAATGTCTCTTGGGGAAAATGTTCTATTTTTCTGCAAAAATAGAATATTTTAAACATTTTTTCATACATTATTCTCAGATACACTGTACCCAATCATCATCAGTGCTATACACATTGACCTATTCATTGTTATGTAGTTGAACATCTTCATTAAAGGACATACACATATTTTCATACCAGTTTCTCAGCTCTCACTGCTTTCTGGGGAGTAGCGGAACTGCCCCAGGCTGATACGTGCCATTGTGCCTGTTGGCCAGATTTTCTCTACTTAAAGGATTTTGAGTCACTGATAATTTTGAAGGATTGAGGGAGTGATTTGTGAGACTAGTTGACTGCTCTTAAGAGTAGGGTCATTTTCCTTATTGTTTTAATTCTAAGTGAGCTAAAAATTAACTCTGGCTCACTGATGTTAAAAACTAGAAAATGTTGTTAAAATTTTGGTTAGATATTTTCTTTTTATCAAGTGATAGTAATATATTTTTACATTTTATATTGTTTTCACCCTTGATTAGATTTCAAATATGTTTCAGAGTTTAAAGTCAAAGCAAAATTATGAAGACTTTGGACTAGTAAAAAATAACAGTAGTGGCAAAAGAAGGGGAAGGGAAACTTGACATGGAAGCAGGAATATTATAGAAAAGTACGTGATCACTAAACAAGAGGCAGATTATAACTGCTTTGAAAATGTAGGTGGAATACAGAAGTTACTGGGTTAGGAGATGCACAAAAATACACATTTCTACCAAAGATAAGTCTTTTCATGTTTAAAGCATGTCATAAATTAATTTTTGTCCAGAATGAAAATATTTTGTGTTTCATTGATAGTCACATTAGTGTGTGAGGAAATAAAATATTGACTTTAATAGTCTTTCAGTCTCTCTTTCTGTGCCTGCCAATCTCTTTATCAGTTTTATTTGACAAGCCATGGAGGCCAGCTGAAAAAGAACATGGATGAAAATGACAAAGGATGGGTCAACTGGAAGGTAACTAAAATCGATTAAGTCTCATATAATACAAAGTATTTTTAGGCTTAAAGGTCTGCGTTTTTTACCTGAGTTCTACATAGTGCTAACAAATATGAGTCACCAGCTCCAAACCCTATGTATCACTGTTCCTAAGTCTAAGTTTACCAAGGAGAGAAGCTAAGAGACTTGAGATATAGTTTGTACCTTCTTTCATGAAATCTCACTTGCTATTTTACTGCCAACTTTAAAACATATTTTTTTTAAAAAGGAAAGAATTTAAAGGTCTATATGCAATCTCAACCCAGCAAACTGTCTATACGTTATTCATAAGCGTGAAGTCACTCTAAAATTTGGAAATGCACTTGTTTTCTTCTAAATCTGTTCTATACCCTCTGTTGTCCACTATCCACACATGGCTATTGAACTCTTGAAGTGTGACTGGTCTGATTTGAGATGTGCTATAAATGTCAAATAAACATTGGATTTCAAAGATAGTACAAAAAGGAGAAAGAATGTAACATATCTGCTTAAAATGAAAAAAAGACATTTATTATAAGTTGAAATGATAACATTTAAGGTATATTGTGTTGAATACAATGTATTGTTAAAATGAATTTCATCTATTTCTTGTCACTTTTAAAACGTGTTTATTTATTTATTTATCTTTGGCTGTGCTGGGTCTTCGTTGCTGTGCCCGGGCTTTCTCTAGTTGTGGTGAGCGGGGGCTTCTCTCTAGTTGCAGTGTGCAGGCTTCTCATTACAGTGGCTTCTCCTGTTGCAGAGCACAGGCTCTAGGCGCTGGGGCTCCAGCAGTTGCAGCCTTGGGGCTCAGTAGTCATGGTCCATGGGCTTAGTTGTTCCACATCATGTGGGATCTTCCCAGATTAGGGGTCAAATTTATGTACCCTGCATTGCAAGGTGGATTCTTAACCATGGGACCACCAGGGAAGCCCCTTGTCATTTTTTTTTTCTAATGTGGCTACTAGGAGGATTCAAATTACATATGTGGCTCACATTTTTTTTTTCTGTTGAACTGAACTACTCTGTTATTTGCAAAGGTAACTAATAGATTGGCTTTAGTACCAATCCCTAAGGAACCTTAATCCTATCCTACTCAGAGAAGTGGTGGGTTATTCTTATACCTTTTCCCTTTCTCCAAGCCCGTTCTCACTGTGACAGACTTTCCCTGTCTCACTCATTAATCCTATAATGACTGTGTTTTTTATTTTATTAATAGTCTATAGCATAAAACATTTTCAAAAGTCTTTTTAAGTTTTAAAGTATGATTTATTATTTACCAAGTTTTACGTTCATACCTCTTTTCCTAAGAAATACTATAATGAGTTAGAGTAGGCATACTCTCAGTTATTTTATGGCTTGTAAATTTATTATTTTATACCACCAGTTTCCCAGAGACATACTGAGTTCACTAGTTTCTAGTTATGCACGTTCCTCTTGGGGCCTTTATTAAGTATAGGAATCATATTTATTGTATATCATTTTCCAGAAAAATGGCTGCTTATTAATCAATAGGCTATATACACTTAGGTGAGAGGTCTCCTGCTTCATTTTTTTGTTTCCACAAAAATTATTGAGAAGTGCCATCTAAACCTTGTGATGTATCTTCCTTTTTTTCTTTCGGTGCAATTTGCAAAATTCTGCCTACTGTTGTTCAGCCTTCAGTACCTCTGACCTGACAGTTTTGGTAAAGAAGATTTGAGATGTCTATTTTTGTGGAAGTAGATACATGAAAATTATTAAATCTGTAAGCCCTTTCTTTTTGATGATTCATATAAATGGAGAAGGAAGTAATTGGAGAAGGCATTCTTTGGCTGGAGAACACTGTGAGCAAATATATAACAAAAATGCATTTGTTTTGTTGGAACAGAAAGTTAGAAAGATAGATTGGTGCTGTATTAAGGTGAGAGTTACTAAGTTAAGGAGCTTGAATTTTAACCTACAGATCAATATGAAACATTGAGAGTAGTGTTTTCAGAAAATGAGTCCCCCAGCCATGTAAGGAAGTAAATTGGAGGGATCTGAGGCTAGAGGTGGAAGTAGCATCAGGAGGCTACTTAAATAATTGAGATGTGAGATGAAAAGATGTTGGAGTGATAGGTTCTAAGTAATACATTGTTATAATATTCTTTTGAACTTCCTGTCAAATATTTTTTGGGTAGGTTTGGCTAGGGAAAAGAAAATAATCGTTTTTAGCCAATTTTCACAAAATCCTGTTAATTAATAGCATCTTTCTCTTTGTGTTTTGAAGGATATCCACATCAAACCAGAGCACTATAGTGAATTCATACAGAAAGAAGACCTGATTTATCTTACATCAGATTCACCTAATGTATTAAAGGAATTAGATGAATCAAAGGCCTATGTGATTGGAGGATTAGTAGATCACAACCATCACAAGGTACATACTATTAAGTTTTTATTTTTGCTTTTGCTCATACTTAAAATTGCTGTACCAGTGTTCTTGATAGTAATGTTAATTTTCTTAATAGTAAATACTGAGAGCTTGTGTTTACTGAGTACCTCGATATTTCAGTCACCTTTCTAGCTAAGTGAAGCATTTCACATATGTTAGTTTGCTTTATCCTTACTGTAGCCCAGTGAAGTCAGTGCTGTTAGTACGCACAGTTTACAGATGAGGAACCAGAGGCACATAAAAATTAAATCTAAAATTAATAAAAATAGGTAGTAGACACTTGAAACTCCAGATTGGTCTGGAGCCCACGTGCTTAAATGATTTTCTGTATTGATAAATGCTTCTTCTGCTAATCAATTTCTAGCCTGCTGGCAAAATTTATAGTAATTTATATAAAAATTTATATCCAAACTGGTAAACTTATGCCCATTTTCAAATATGTGATTATATGGGATGTGCTTTCTGTCCTCTTTAATTTGTACTTTTGTCTCTTCCCACCTCCTTTACCCTCATTCAAATGAAAAATTACAGAAATACACTTTCTAAAAGAAAACATTGTTTTGTGTTTTGCCAGCTATGTTGCATTGTGCTAAATTAAGCTCAATTTATTTAGTTAAGTATCTGTTGAAATGTTGTCAGCAGAATAATACACAGTAATTCATTATTCTCATATAGCACCACTGTGCAGGAGAATTTTATGCATTGTTGGAAGTATTTATATCATCGTGTTCAGTATGGTAACCCATTGGCTGTTGAGCACGAGTTGTACATAGAATGATTGAGAAATTGAGTTTTTAAAGATTATAATGAGTTTAGGTAGTCAATTGTGGCTACAGTTGGACAGTATAGCTCTATAGCATAGGGAATTTTATCAGGATGATCTTTAGCCTTTTTATTTTTTTCTTAGTAGAAAAATTCTGTTTTCTTATTTCTGTAGAACTAGTTTTTTTCTTTTGTGTTGTATGTTTCTCTGAACTAAAACAATTTTGTTTTCAAAAAGACCTGACTTGATCTATTATCAAATATTGGCCTCTAAAATATGCAGACTATTGGTAATTCCTCTGGCAGTCCTGTGGTTAGGACTCTGTGCTCTTGCTGCCAAGGGCCTGGGTTTAATCTGTGTTTGGGAAGCTATAAGATCCCAGAAGCTGTGCAGCATGGAGTGGCCAATAAAGGAATAATTATTTTTTGAAAATGCAGACTATTAGTTGAGAAATTTAGCCCTTCTTCCTCCTGTGTTATGTCTTTGGGCTCTTTTAGTCCTGATTAGACCCAGGCTTTAAGGACTTTAATTTTGAGAAGAAAATTCATATTCAGCATTCTTTTTTTTTTTAAGTTGAAATTCATGCATCCAATAAGTATTATTCCACTGAAATTTGTATTATTTGTTTATTTTTTGTGTTTCTCACACATAAATTAAGTGTAACATTAATAGAATTTCTGAAGTGTTTATATTTCATTAAAACAAAGTGCTAAGACAGGATTTAAGTTGATTTCCTTTCTAAAGCTTTTTATTCTACCATGCTAAGGTTGGGTTTGGGGTTTGTTTGTTTGTTTGCTTTCATAATTCAGCATGCTTTTAATTGACAGAAATGGAAAAATCAAATTTATGGACCATAGGAAATTTTTTTCATTCAGGTTTTCATTTCATTAGTTTTTGCCACTTGTACCTCTTAGTGCTATATAATTGAAACAGTTCTATATTTCAGATTTATGAGAAGAGTGATGATGCTTCTATAAGAATTCAGTTTGAATACTTTAAACTGAGAAAAAGGCAGTGTGGAGTGATGAGAAGCTGCTTGAGTCAGGAAGCATGAGCCAGTTTTTCCTTTGGTTCTGCTACTGACGAACTTTGTGACAGGATAGAGAGCATAATGTCTTTGGTTTCCTCGTTTGGTTAAAATAAATACCAGCAACATTCTGACTATACTTATTATCAAGAGAATATTTTCAAATTAGCTGTTAAATATACACACTCAAATTCAGATTATATTCTCTGAACTAAAGTCTTTCCTAAAAATTATTTATTCTATCTTAGACTTTAAGTTTAAATAATGTAATGTTCTAGTCCAGGTGATGATGTCTTTGTTTTAGGGACTCACGTATAAACAAGCATCAGATCATGGAATTGATCATGCACAGCTTCCCCTTGGGAATTTTGTGAAGATGAATAGTAGAAAAGTTTTGGCAGTTAATCATGGTAAGCTATAAACTTATAAGCTAAAAATTTACCTATGTGAACACTGTGAAAAATAACCTTCTATTTACATTTTGGAAAAGTAGAAAATATATACCTTTGGAAAATTAAAATGTAGCCATTTATGATTTGTTTGACTGATACATGCATGTTTTAGAAAGTTTTGAAGGTATAAAAAAGTGTAAAGAAAAATAAGTAGGTGTTATTTCAATACCCAGAATACTTGATAGTAACGTTTTGGTATTTCTCCAAGTTCTTTTCCTATGCATAATATCCTTTATTATGTAATTGGATTCTTACTCTATTACATTAAATGTTATAAATGTGGGGTGTTTTCCCTCCATTTATATTTATTGAGTCATTGTTAATGGCTGTGTAACTTATTCATCTGAGTATATCAATACAATAATACAACCATTCTTCTATTGATATGTTTTTCTTTTTACTATTGTAAATATTATAATAGATATCCTCAGACTTAAGTCTTTGCCTGGAGTTTTGCTTTTTGAAACTTTTTTTAGTAGAGATTTTCGTTAGTACACAACTATTAATTGGGTTTTTTAAATTTCTCTGTAGCAAGCCCTAGGGAGTTATAGAAATGAATTTATTGATTCAAGGAATGAACCTCTTCCAAGACTTTTGATATATAATGTATTCCTTTTCTATCATAAAGTAATCCAAATTTACCCTTTCATCAATGTGTTAAAGTGAGAGGAACTTGGCGGGACAGTGTTTAAAAAAAAAAAGGAGGCCAGACACTCCACAGATCGAGTGGAAAGCTATAAGAAATTTAGATTAATGGTAGCTTCTCTCCCCCCTGTTTTTTTTTTCTTTTTGCTTTTTTGTTAGCATATAAAGGATAAAGATATGGCAGGAATAAAGAATAAGAAGGAAAAAAAAGAGGGGCCCTCTATTAGTTATAATTGACAACGGATAATGGTAAACCTCTGAGTGCTTAAGAAAGGATATGAGGAAAAGCTACAAAGTAGCATCCTTGAGAGCCTTGGTGCATGTTAGCTCTGACAGCTAATACAGGAGAAGGAAGTAATAAGAACAAAGTAGTTATTGGGACATATTAGCACTCTTAACACAAAAGCAATGTATTTTAAAGTATACAGCATTGTGATGAGCTAGGCTCAGAAACATACAGAGTTTGTCTCTGTTGCAGTGTTTGAGATTATTCTGGAATACCTGGAGACAAGAGACTGGCAAGAAGCATTTTTCACTATTTTACCCCAAAGGAAAGGAGCTGTTCCCACAGACCAAGCCTGTGAAAGTTGTTCATGTGACAAGAAATTCGCCAGAGTTGAAGGTGGATTAAACAGTGATTCCAGTGAAGAGGAAAATAAGCATGAGCTGGATTCACCACATGAGGAAGAAAAGCAGGATAAAGAAAGCAGCACTGAATCTACAGTGAACTCTGTACCGTACTAGTATCATCTTTTTTTTTTTTTCTTAAGTTTAAGGAAAAATCAGGAGAAAGGTGTTTCATAGAATATTTGAATTGGAAGGAAATTTCATTTTCTTTTATTTCTGTTGTGAATTTTTTTAAACTTTCTTTTTGAACTAAGTGATAAAAAGTACTCATAAGAAAGCATTTTTTGGCTCTTGCATAAGACTTAAATATGGAAAATAAAAAATAATTTTCTAAATCTCAAATAACCATTACTTGAGAGTATTACCCTATTAGTAAATATGTTGGAGAAGGAAATGGCAACCCACTCCACTGTTCTTGCCTGGAGAATTCCAGGGACCAGGGAGCCTTGGCAGGCTGCTGTCTATGGGGTCGCAGAGTCGGATACGACTGAAGCGACTTAGCAGCAGCAGTAGCAACAGTAAATCTGTATTCTTTTATTTACAAGATTGTGTTCTTCAGAATGTGCCTTCTGACCTTTCAGTTTTATTACTGTATGTTTATATCTGTGTCTTTCTGATTTATTGCCTATTTGTGGAGGCAGGTATCCTAAATCTCCTTTAAGTCTAAAAAAATGTTCTGAATGGGAGGTTACCTTCTATTTGCAGCTTTTATATTCAGTTTAATTATTTCAAAGGAATATAGTGATTTTAGGAACAAAGTAGTATTAGATTGATGAGGGGCTTCTGTGGTGACTCAGTGGTAAAGAATCCACCTGTCAATGCAGAAGACATGAGTTCAATCCCTGGGTCAGGAAGATCCCCTGGAGAAGGAAAAGGCAACCCATTCCAGTATTCTTGGATTGAATTGATAAATTCAAAAATTGATGTCTGTTGGACTGTGGACCCACCTCTACCCTTTTGTGTGTGTGTGATGCTTTTGTGGTTCTAAGGCAAGCACTGAGGACTTAATACTTTAATATATTTTCTTAATTTAAATAATGACGGTAAATTATTTTGATTACAAAATTAATTTTTCAGCCACCAGGGAGGTCCGTTTTTCAAGCTAGATTAATTTAAAAAGCTGTTGAGGGATTTCCCTGGTGGTCCAGTGTTTAAGAATCCACCTTCCAGTGCAGGGGACACGGGTTTGATCCCTGGTCTGAGAAAATTCCACATGCCGTGGGATAACTAAGCACATGCGCTCTAACTACGGTGCCTGCGCTCCGGAGCCCTCACGCTGCAACTCCTGAAGCCCGCGTGCTCTAGAGCCTGCGCTCCACAAGAGAAGCCACCGCAATGGGAAGCCCATGCGCAGCAGCTGGAGAAAGCCCGCATGCAGCAGTGAAGACCCGGCCCAGTCAAGTATAACAACAGGCATAGAGGGGTCCATTTATGTCATTACCCACATTTAGAAAGAAACAGCTCCTAAGAAGTAGCCCTTGGCAGCTATCCTTTTTCTCCTTACGTACTTCTTTAAAATAATGTTGGTTCTTAAGCGAATAAAGTTAACTTCGTATGTGCATCTATCATATAATAATATTTAAGCTAATGTAAATATGTTTCAGTAAATAATATAAGCATGTATGAAAATATGCATATAATTGTATATACATCTGTCTGTCCACATCATGTATAATTCTGTTATTGATGATAGTAGGATTGAGTTGCCATATCTATATTATTTGTGTGAATGTGCTGAAAAACACTAAGGAATTTAAATTTCATAAAATGTAAAAATCTATAACTAAACATTTATATGAGGGCATTGGCAAGAGATGGTAGAGCTAGTAGATGTTTTAGTTCCTGCCAGTAAACGTAGAGCCGTTATATTTAACATGATTATTCTCTGTCACAGGTAAAGTAACATTTCAGAAGCCTTAGTTACTAAGTTTGGATAAATTAAGTTTGTTTTTTTTTACTTATTGGCATCTCAGATTATATACATATTTGATCAAAAATTCACTGAATTTAATATTGATGTTCACTGTCTCTCTTGTTGCTTTATTCTTAGTAAGCTATTATTACAGTTATCCATTTAAAGGTCTGTGAGCAATGTATGTAAATAAAGAAAAGCCCCCACAGTTGTAGAACAGAATTTATGCCTTAAGTTGTATTTTTCAAAGTGACAGATTTTTCTAAGTGTAGTTAGTAGCATGGAATGTTAGGCTTATAATTTAAATCATTCCATATGGACTAAGGCTCAGTTTAATATTGAAAAGTGGGGAAAGGTCATTACAAGCACCATGTAGTTTAATTTTCACTAATTATATAAGCCCTATATCTGTTTCCAGGGCTGCTGTAACAAAATACTGCAAACAACAGTCGTTTATTCAAAAACAACAGTAGTTTATTTAAAACAACAGAAATTTATTCTCAAAACAACAGAAATGTACTCTTAGAGTTCTGGAGACTGATTGTCCAGAATCAGGGTGTTGGATGGCTCATGCTCCCTCAGAAGGCTAGCGAAGATTCCTTCCTGGCTTCTTTTATCTGTCGGTGGTTGCCAGCAATCCTTGGCGTTCCTTGGCTTGAAACGGCATCACTTTAATCTTTGTCATCACATGGACTTCTGCTTTCTGTCTTTTGTGCTTGTATTGTGTCTTTTTAAGGATACCAATGATTGGATTAGGGTTCACCATTATCCACTGTGACTTCATTTTCACTTGATTTTATCTACAAAAGCTGTTTTCAAATAAGTTCACATCCACAGGTACCACATATTAGGACTTGAACGTATCTTTTTGGTGGATACAATTCTGTTCACTCCCAAGTCCATATCTAATTTGGATTGCTGATGACAAGAAGGTGAGTATGACAATTAGAAATGACTAATTTCTGAGGTATTTAAAATTTTGTTTTTCTTAATTGTATTTTTTTCTTATTTTACTATGTTTTCAAAATTATTTTGGTTTATCTGAGGTACTTTATGTAAAAACTTAAGTAATATTAAAGTCACTTGTATTGTAACATAGTAAAGGTGGGGAATTTAGTCAGTACTTAAATGCATCAAAAGGAGATATGTCTGCTGAAATAATAGGATTTTCTCTCATTCTTTTTTTTTTAATTTTTAGAAGTTTATTTTTATTGAAGTTTAGTTGATTTACAAGATTTTGGGTATATCACAAAGTGATATGGTTATGCATACACACTGTATTTATAAAATACATATTTATTCTTTTTCAGGTTCTTTTCCATTATAGGTGATTAGAAGATATTGAATATTGTTCCCTGTGCTACATAGTAAGTCCTTGTTTGTTTATTTTGTATGGAGTAGTGTGTATCTGTTAATCTCAAATTCCTAATGTATCTCATCCCCCACTTTGCCCTTTGGTAACTTAAGTTTGCTCTTTGTGTCTGTGTGTCTGTTTTGTAAATAAATTCATTTGTATAAGTTTTTTTAGATTTCACATATAAGTGATGTGATGTTTGTATTTATCTGATTTACTTGGCTTAGTATGATAATCTCTGGGTCCATCAGTGTTCCTACAAATGACATTATTTCATCCTTTAATATTCCATTGTGTGTGTGTGTATATATAGATATACACACACACACACACACACACATCACATTTTCTTTATCTGTTCATTTGTCAGTGGTCATTTAGGTTGCTTGCGTGTCTTGGCTATTGCAAATAGTGCTGCAGCAAACACTGGAGTGTGTGTATCTTTTTGAATTAAGAGTTTTTGTCTTTTCTGGAAATGTGCCCAGGAGTGTGATTGGTGAGTTCTAAGGTAACTATTTTTAGTTTTTTAAGAAACCTCCATACTGTTCTCCATAGTGGGCTGCACCAATTTACATTCCCAGCTACAGTGTAGGAGGGTTCTCTTTTCTCCACAAGCTCTCCAGCATTTATTTGTCGACTTTTTGATGATGGCTATTTTGCCTGTTGTGAGGTGATACCTTACTGTAGTTTTGATTTGCTTTTCTCTAATAATTAGCAATGTGAACATCTCTGCACGTACCTATTGGCCATTGTATATCTTCTTTGGAGACATGTTTATTTAGATTGTCTGTACATTTTTGATGGGGTTTTTTTGGTTTGATTTTGATTTGTCTTGGCCCTCTGGTGGGCTGGGCAGTGTCTCCAGGTGAGTCCAGAGGCTTGGGCTCACTGTTCTCTAGGCAGCCTATTTGTGATGGGTGGGGCTGTGTCCCTGGCCAGTTTGTTGTTTGTCCTGAAGCATCTTAGCACTGAAGTCCACAGGCTGTTGGATGGGTCTGATGCTCTTGGTGCTAATGAGCCAAGATGTTAACCGTCAACAGCAAGTGTTCATCAGGCTGGATGTTCCCCAGTGCGTCCATCACCGGCGTCTGTGCCCCCAGTGTGAGCCACAGCCATCCCTGCCTCCCCAGGAGACTGTCTGAAGCCCGCAGGTTGGTCTGGCCCAGGCTCCTATCAAATTGTGCTTTTGCTCTGGGTCCCAGTGTGCTTAAGACTTTGTGTGTGCCTTTCAGGAGTAAAGTCTCTATTTCCCCAGTCCTACGGGGCTCTTGACTGAATGCCCTGCTCGTTCTTCAAAGCCAGACGTTCAGGGAACTCATCTTCCCAGTGCCGGACTCCAGGCCGAGGTATCTGATGTGGGGCTCAGAACTCTCCTGTAAGAACCTCTACAGCCTAATTATTCTCCAGTTTGTGGGTCATCCACCTGGGGCGTATGGGATTTGATTATACTGTGAGTCTGCCCCTCCTGCCCCTCGTGTGGTTCCTTCTTGATGTTTCCAGTCTTTTTCATCAGTGATTGTTCTGCAGTTGTGATTTTGGTGTGCTCCTAAAAAGAGGTGAACTCAAGGTCTTTGTACTCCGCCATCTTGGCTGCTTTCTCATTTAATTTCTTTAAAAACACATGGTCTTTATAAAGCAAGCTCCTTTTTAAGGGAAAGGACATTGTTGAGACTGTTTCTCCAGAGATCAGAGTGTTTGTACTGTGGAGAATGTTAAAATACTTGGAAATGCCAAAAGGAGGCAATTCTAAAGATTCCTTTTAGGAATACTTTAGGAGGTGAATGAACAATTATGAAACCCACCAATTATAATCAGAAGGTAAAATGATGTATTATTTCACCTTTTAGCTGG